GGTTAACCGCGGTTAACCGTTACACCACTACTTCCTATATACGGTTCGAGATATGGATTTTTCGAGATACGAATTTTTTGAGATCTGTGGATCTGTGGAACGAATTGAATTCGTATCTCGGGGGTCCATTGTATATAGAATCGTAATAGACATGATATGGGCAGCAGTGTTAAAAAAAGAACAGGAGGATAGACACAGTATCTTTAAATATACATGTGTGCGTGTGGGTATGCGTGTGCGTGCATGTGCAAGTGCGTGTGCATGTGCATGTGCGTGTGGGTGCGTGTGCGCGCGTGAGTGTGTATGCGTGCGTGCGTGCGTGCGTGTGCGTGTGGGTGCGTGCGTACGGGTGCGTGTGGGTGCGTGCGTGCGTGTGCGTGTGGGTGCGTGCGTGCGTGCAAGCACGTGGAGAATGCTAGTTGGCGAAAGCTCGCACCACCACAAGCAATTCAATAACAATACTCGCGCGTTTTTACACAGTGTTCAGGAAGGACATAGAGAGGGACATAACTGGTGACACCTCGGGACATTTCGGCCGCCTTCTCGTCTCCATGGCGACGGTAGGTCATAAAGCGACTGCAGCTGGGTTAGGGTTAATACCTGCAATACCTGCATCGCAGAGACCGCGTCGACGATCGAAACGCGATTATTGATTACTCGTTACACGCTCGATTCCCGCATTGCTGTTGCCACGGCAACAAAGTTCCGTCTCCCTGCGAGTGCAGCCACCACGCCCTCGCGACCGCGAGATCATATGTCATTCGTTGGGGAGGAGTGTGAGCACCGCCTGGTGTGATCTGCATTTTATGCGGGAGTGGAAATTGGTGTGTGTGCACAGGTCATGGTGGGGAGGTAGCAAGGGAGCTTACGTGGGTCAACACTTCTGTGGGCACAGCGGGTTGAATTTTGGTTGCTATTTTTAATTTATTATCCTGGCCAAAAAAATAACAGAAAAGAGACGTTACCATTTATTTTTACCTTGTATGTTTAGAGTATTTCATGACGTCGCAAAGTCACACCCCCCATCATTTACATAGTTGTGAATATGAGTATTAAGTTTTAATTGCGTCTTGATTTTTTGTATGTTTTGGTTTTAAGTTATAATTAGTTGTGTTTTGCATTGCAGGGAAACAGAGATGAGAGCACGACGGTGGATATAGCCAGGGCCCAGGCTGATGCACGGGTAAGTAGACCTCAACCTCCCCCTCTTCCCCTTTCCCGTCTGTTTCCTTTCCTCTTCCTCATCATCTCACGCATCTCCCCATCTTTCTCTTCATCCTCCTCCTCCTCCCCCTCCTTTTACTCACTTGTCTTGTAGGCTTGCTTGATTTCGAGCATCTGTTTGTTGCTTCTGGTGCAGAGGATCTCGATCAACGCTCCCTCATCCGTGCCGAGACCCTGCAAGACAATCGAGCCACAATTAAAAAAATCTTTGTTTGCCCTCACCCAGCCCAGGCTGAAAAGTTTGGGTAGTTAGGTAGGCTTTTGATTTTTTTTAAGGGGGTCTTTTTACAAATTGAGCATGGTGTCTACATGTTCGGGTGTGCTTGTGTGGAGATACCTTTTATGTTGAATGTTTCTTTTGCTTGGTACATATAAAGTATTGCCTACAGATTTATATAACGTACAATGATACAATTTGTAAAAAAAAAAAATAATAATAATGGGAAAAATCAATAAAATTGTTTGAGTCGGCCCCTTTTTGGCGGGTCGGTCGGGTGAGGGCAAACAAACAATATTTTTATTATGGCCTCGGAGAGGAAGCCGCATGATTGTCACGCCTGTATTGCCATGCTGTCCGGACACACACCTGCTCATGTATGTTACCACTACAGAGACTCCCCGACTTACGAACAGGTTCCGTTCCGAGCGGTCGTTCGTAAGTCGATTTGTTCGTAAGTAGATGGTATTTGAGGCACTTTTCAGTACATGTACAGCCTTCATTCTGACTACGACAATTCTAATTTTAGTACAACAATTCTTATTTTTTAATATCTTGTTTTAACTTTCGGATCAACAGGGGGGGCCATGGCCCCTTTTGGCCCCCCTATAGTATAACTACGCCACTGCTCACCTGTATGGCATTGTAGATGCACATGGCGTCGTAGTCGCTGGGTTTCATGAGCAGAGCCAGAATGACGTCCTCGAATTTCCCACTCAGCTCGCTCTTCAACTCCTTAATCAGATCCTGAATCCGCCGACGACAAACGACAGCAACAAAGATACAAACGGTGAGACTAAAGCCCGGCGCACACGTGAGTAATTTTACTCAAGTAAAATGATGCATGCGTCAAAATACTCACGTGTGCGGCGGATTTTCGTTGAGTATTTTGACGCAGGCATCATTTTACTTGAGTAAAATTACTCAGGTGTGTGCCGTCTTAACATTAAGGATTAAGGGTAAACGAAGATACATATAAAAACATAACATAATAATAATAATAAATAATACATAATCATAAATACATGACAAACGGTGAGATGAAATGCTAAGGAGATGAGATATATTCTAAGATTCTCGGGTGAGACCTATCGCAGGTAGCTCCCACCTGCTGTTTGTCGTGAACTTCACAACTCAATGGCGTTGAGTGATGTGCTGGTAAAACCCAGGTGGGGTAGTGACAGTGGATCTACATCCCGTACGAACAGCAGTCAATTCTTCCACCTCACACATGGCTTAGCCCCGCCTGGGATGAAGTAACACGAAAACATCCCTCCCCTCACCCAGCAAATTGAAAAAAAGCCTCGTCTGCGACCAGGTAACACAAAAAATTCCCCCACCCGACGCCTGCAAGCATAGAGAGGTGCCGGAAAATCGAGGTGATTGGAGTGACTGCACTACCGAGGCCCATAGGCATTTTTTTTGACGGGAGGGTGCGATCCAACGAGTATACGGGCATAACAAGCGCCGGAGCCGCCAGTCTCTAGGGTGGTCTGGGGGCATGCCCCCCTGGAAAATTAGGAAAATTAGGTTGTCTGAGACTGCATTTCGCGCGTTTTGAAAGCAGTATGATATGAAAAGAGGCAGCCAAAAGGGAACCTCAAAACGTGAACATTTCTCAAATTATTGCACTTCAAAATGTATTTTTCCCACAGAAAAATGGACCTCCGCAGTCTGTGGAGGGGTGCGGGCGCACCCGTCGCACCCCCCCTCCCTACGAGCCTGCCACCTCACCTTGCCATACATGGTCTTAAAGTCGAGTGTGATCTTCTGACGCTGGGCGTTGTTTCTGTGGGCTAGCACGTCAATGATAGCTTTCTCATCAGTACCTGTGCAGGGGGGGAAGAGACATGCCATCAGATAATCATTCCGTAGATGCGGACGCACGTCTTACTCCGCAACTGTGTCTACGTCTACAAAATAACTGCGCGAACTCTGTGAGGGCATGATGCCCCCAAGGATTATAACTGAACCATAAGTTGCTCACTGCCGGATTATACTGTAATAAACCACGGGCAAAGAGCAGATAAGTCAGGGTTTCTGATACATAGGAGGCACAGTGGCGCACCGCCGTTGTCAAATTTAACATCGCCGTTGTAAAAATGTTCCTGTATTAACTGATAAGTATATCCTGTATCTATATACCTATAAGTATATCAATACATCCTGTATTTGAATCCATCATGCGCGTTTTTTTCCCAAACTGGCCATTACCTTCTTTGTCTAATTTTCCCTCAGAAGAAACCCTATAAGTGTATACTAAATTATTCTTTAAGTAGCCAAAAGTGCTTTGGAAATTGTAAGAGAATATTAACTCTGTTAGGTAGTACAGCTCCAGTCGTAAACTGTTCTGGAGAAAGGAAAATTATTTAAAGATGAAGAAAACCCTGTGGCGCCACCGATAACAGACGTTCACTTCTTCCAGCCCACGCGGCGCCACCGATAACAGACGTTCACTTCTTCCTGCCCATGCCGTGCCACCGACGACGTACATTCAGCCAACGACAATGCACGTTCGCTTGTTCCCACGCGCATGCCGTCGTCGCCCGCTGACTTACCGAAGCCCTTCATGGCCTTGCGGATGACCTCGGCGTCTGCCTGGCCGTTGAAGGGCGAATAGGGTTTCACGGTGCCGCGGTCCTAGACGCACGAACAACGTGAGAACAACACCTCCGCCACCGCACATGTCCTCCGCCCGACGCGGCAGCGAGGAACAGGAAAGTGAGCAGCGGGGGAAGGGCGTCAGGAGAGGATGACACGGATCGCAGGCGGCTGTTTCGAGATCCGCGTACTTTAGGCGCGATTCAGCCGCGACGGACGCGCGGGGAGGCAGGCAGAGAGAGAGAGGTTGTCGCGGATGTTAGGGCATGCATGTACGCGGGGTGCGAGTGGCACTGTAGCTGCAGCATGCGACCCTACCCCTCCCCCCATGCACAGATGAACAACCATACGTACCTAGCCCCTTCATCGCTCTGTGGAGACACTCACTGTCCTTGCGCGAGTCGAAGGTAGCAAACTCCCTCACGGTGGCAGCACCTGTCGACGCGGCCATTGCTGCAGCGTATGGCTAGCTCACGACTCACCCGTACTGCCAAGTACAAAGCAAGCATTGCCATGGCTCTACTTGTAGGCCATGTGGGGCCTGTAGCCCTGCGCTCGACAACAGTCATTCTCAGAGTAAAGTGCTGCACACGTATAACTAGCATGCTGCACGTACATGCGGCTACATCTGAATCTCTTCTTGCGTTTTCGCCAATTTTTTACTATGATGTATACGAATATTTTTTTGAATATTTTTGGAAGATTTGTGAGTGGGTCCATCTACACCACACACTCCTCACTTCTATCACAGCTCTACTCATATAGTCCTACACTCCATCGCAGCTGGCCTAGTTACAGAGTGAAGACCAGTAAGGGCAGAGCCACGCAAAGCTAAAACTGATTTATGAGTGTGAAAAGCACATTTTTGCTCCTACAACTGACTTACAAGTAGTCACACGTAAAAAACATGCATTTCGTACTTCCTATACTGCCTCACGGTTACTTTCCCAGCCATAAACTTCCAATGCAGTGATAAAGCTACAAAAAGCCACCGTAAGTACATGCTCTCGCGCCTCCTATCCTATTCCGATACGAAGAATTCTGTATATATCATATGACGAGTAGGAGCAAGAGCAGTAACTATTTGTTACACCAGGGTGTATATTATATATATAAGAGCTAATAAATACCTACTAATTTTTGTTTGGCATAAAAGATGACATAAAAGATGATAAAGATGCCATCTTTTATCGCCATGAAAAAAACTGTCGTCAGTACATGTAGGCCTATTTGTATCTGAATTCATGCAATAAAGATTTAATAAATAAATAAATAATATTTATTAGCTCTTGATATAATATTTAATATATACCAGTGCTAAATAACAGGGTTATTTATGATTTTATCATTTTACTATTGCTTTGATCAAGCTACAGCATGCTGCACATACTTACTCTGAGAATAGAGATCCTATTTGTCACTTCCTACGTCTATAACACACTGCCACCGATCCTACAACGCGTAAAACTCCCACTGCGCGTGTTGTTAGTGTACGTGCGTGAGTAAGTGTGGCAGCAGCAGCAGCAGCAGCAGCAGCTCGGTAGCACTCACGAGAAACACGCTCACTACTACTAGTACTACGTCCGTATTGCGTCTGCCTGTCTACGTATGTACGTCTGCCTGTATATACGTGTATGCACGACGACGGCCACAATAGTACTACAGCCTACTAGTACTATTAGTAGGGCAGGCAAGCATTCACGACGGCTGTGCTCGAGCGCGTTCTATCGTGCAGACCACGCCCGTGTGGATGATGTACCCACCGCACACAACACGGACAATACGTCAGTATCCTGAGATCAGCTACTGCACCCAGATATAGCCACCTAGACGGCCCCCGTCCTCTACCGTGCAAGAGCATTCACTCCGATCCGGTGACAGACAGGAGCCGTCTATAGCCGCACACCATTACACGATATTTATGGAGCCTGCACGCGAGGGAGAGGGGCAGTGTTTGGATGATTCACATACAACATGAGGGCGAGGGAGGGTAGCATCAGTTGCTACGTGACAAGCAAGCGTAGCTACGTGCTGGGTCAACCGAACCCGACTACGAAAAAATTCATCGGTTCTTAGATGTTAGGTGAACCCAACCCGACCGCTAGAGAACATTTAGCCACGCCGTAAAAAACAACGCGTTGACTAAACTTATCCCGGCATAAAAAAATGAGAATGAAAAAACAAGAACCATATGTCTAACTTTATCTCAGTGGATTAGAAAGGCCGAAGGAAGATGCACATGTTGAATGAATCTCTCGCCTGATTATAATTTATTATAGAGTATCTAAAGATGAGCAAAGAATACACAACAGGGCCGTAGCCTGGGGAGAGGGGCAAAGGGGCAGCTGCCCCCACAAGATATTGGAGCAAAATTCAACAATACGCTTAGCTAATAATCGTAAATAACCCTAACGTGATTTTTTTTTGGTCACGTATCCGTGAAAGCCGTGAAACCCACCCCTACCACACTATGGACGTCGATCAAGAGCTGCGCCCGTCGCTCATCATTACACAGGTGACAGTTGAGTCATGAAATTTTGCCCCCCCCCTAGGGATTAGCTCAGCCTACGGCCCTGCACAAGTAATAGTATGAAAAGGAGAGAAAGTGTGAGAGAGTAAGTGAGAAGGGGAATGAGCGAGCGAGTGAGTGAGCGAGTGAATAAACGTCTGTAAAAGGGAGACAAAGGAAAGAAAACAAGTTGAAGAATAACATGAGGATACCGATAGGGAACGAAGGGAATATGAGGAGGATAAGGAGAAGGGCTGGCAGAGCAAGTAGAGGTAAATGCAGAACAGGAAAAAAATGTCTCAGAGAGACAAGTTCCAGAACGACAGGATAGGGGGCATGCATACAACACAGAGTTGTTATATATTAACCCGGGAATAGAAGCTGCTTTAAGCCCTGTCTACACTAGCAAACTTTAGTTTGCAAACTCGAGCAAACTCGAGCAAACTCCGAGTTTGCCAAGAAAAGTTTTCCAAAGTTTGCCAGTGTAGACCAGTTGGCAAACTTCGGCAAACTAGTTTGCAGAAGTTTGCAGAAGTTAGGCCGTGCACCTTCTTGGCAAACTAGTTTGCTCGAGTTTGCTGAGGTTTGGAATAACTCAGCCAATCAAATGACAGTTTGTAGTCATGTGATCCTGCAGATAGACAAACATTGGACATTGAACATTGGAATTCACAGTCAGTACCAGTGAATCGGCCAGGTTTGCTCGAGGTTGTTGAGTTTGCTCGAACTCGGAGTTTGCCTCGAGTTGCAAATCTAAAGTTGCTAGTGTAGACAGGCTGTTATACACCCTCGCACACCACAGGCCACGTCGCACACACGCACACACACGCACGCACGCACACACATGAACGCACACGCACACACAGATACCTATTGGACATTGATATCATATTTTAAAAGTGAATTGATTGCAGTTCAACAACGAGAGTATCTAACAAAATCTGAGCTAGGATAGCAGATCCCCGATATCTCGGATCCAATATATAGATCCCGATATATAGATCCAAAAAAATCACGTTAGGGTTATTTACGATTATTAGCTAAGCGTATTGTTTAATTTTGCTCCAAAATCTTGTGGGGGCAGCTGCCCCCTTGCCCCCCGCCAGGCTACGGCCCTGTTGTGTATTCTTTGCTCATCTTTAGATACTCTATAATAACTCTACGCACCCCGCAGCATGCCCTGCACCCACCTCCTCCCTGGCCAGCTCCAATCTCTTCCATAGTGCTACGCAAATAGAGAGCAGTTTTACACAGCAGTGATGCCATACTAGCTCTGCCTGTGCAACCCCTTCTTCCTCAACAGGAGGATAAGAAAAAAAAGACTCCTCAATTCTATTTTTTGATTCAGATTATATGATGTTTGCTCCGGTTGCATGGCGACGGAATACACGAGCATGTACGCGCAGGGCTAGTACAATGTATGACACTCAGCACTGAAGCAGCCTCCGCACTGTGATAATCATAGCATGCATGACGCATAAAACCACCAACTCAATCAATAGTTAATAAATAACCCACATCATGCTGCAGCCACTGTGCATAAAGGAACGCGAACTCATGCGGGACGAAGAAGTGGAGGACAAATGAGGTGGTTGGTGGAGAAGGATCGTAACCATCATGTACACAACAAAACACAATTTTTAAATTACGAAACCAAAAAATTATATACCATGCATCATGTAATATTATATATAGAATACTGAAAAATGTATAGTAATTCTACTCTTGTGCTTACGTGCCAATATAAGAGAATTAGAGAAATGAATGAAAGATGACAGATATATTTACATCAAGTAAACTATGCAACATGTGTTTCACTTTTAATTTTTCAACCTGTGCCACCAACCCTAAGTATAATAATATGTTTCCATGGGTGATTACTGAATATAAGCAGCCTTACCTTTGGAGCTTGCATATAAGTTTGATTTTGTGGCACAGCTTGTGTAGAGTAGGCAGCACTTTGGTTGTAGCCACCAGGGAGAGCTGACGCACCCTGCAAATTACATATAAAACAGATGTACTATCATAGCGGTCACTTATTACACTACACGAGTGTCACACCGAAGGCAAAAATGTACACGAGTCTACCACTTCGATGTATTATGCATGTCAGATAAGTTGCCGAACAAGCAGGAGAGACCCCATAGCGTTTCTAATGGCCAGATAGGCAGTTAATTGTTAGCCCAGCTGTTCACATGCATCGTTATATGGAGAAATAAGCACGTACAGAGGTGGCACCTAGTGTTAGCCATGGAATAAAAATGAAAACGAAAAAATCAATGAAATTTCGCATAAAAACTTGAGCGTACTCAGAATGTACATTGACCGAGTCGAACTTCGTTAGGACGTACATTATTTAATATTAACAAGGTAATTCCATGCCTGCAGTGCTTCGAACACACGGCGGTGACAACTTACCCCGAACCCGAGGCCTCCTGATGTGGTAGCGGGATGCTGGCCACCAGGGTAAGCACCTGGTTGGGACGGATTGGCAGGGTATGAAGGCTGTGCGGGAAAACCTTGCTGGGATGGATAGCCACCAGATGGCTGCTGGGATGGATAGCCACCAGGTGGCTGCTGGGATGGATAGCCACCAGGTGGCTGCTGGGAGGGATAGCCACCAAATGGCTGCTGAGAGGGATAGCCACCAGGTGGCTGCTGGGAGGGATAGCCACCAAATGGCTGCTGAGAGGGATAGCCACCAAATGGCTGCTGAGAGGGATAGCCACTGGCAGGAGGTTGAGTCGGGTACGTAGAAGAGGAAGGATAACCAGGACCAGACGGTGGATAGCCCTGAAATGAAACAAAAACAGCCAAAATTTCTACTACTGAATAGTACTTGAAATAGTAAAGTCGGACATGCAACACGAGCCGTCTTTAATATGTAATTCATCTGAAGCCGAAGCTTAAAGTTGCGACGAGTGTCCGTGTTAGCAACTTCAGCTTTCAAGGCACGAACCATAGATTAGCCATAGCCGTAATACAGCCAATGTAAGAGGGTGTCGCCCACTTACTAACACACACACACACATACCAGGGGTAGAAATAACAAGAAAAAAAGAGATGGTTCTAAATTTTAGATGGTCCTCCTAAATTTCAAATTGTTCTCTAAAAGTAATGCGGCGTGCAAGCATAAGAAAGAGATTTTACATGGTGATAAAATGGAAATTATTCACCTACAATGAATGTATCAAACGATACAGTAATTGTTTATTCACTTTAATAGTATATTGGTTAATAAAGTTGTTTCAGTAGAATTTAGTTGAACCCATAACGGTCCGGTCTGTCGGACCATTGACTTTGAAAATCTGATGGTCCTCCCGATTATTTGATGGCCCCGGACCATCGAACCATCGCTTATTTTGTCACCTGCACACTGAAAAACGCTACACGCTACTAATCAATCGTGTATCACACGAAATCGATCGCGCTAGGCTATATATAAATTATATATTATATTAGAATTAGAATCACGCACTACACTTACTCCTGTCGGTGGGTAGGCGCTGCCAGCGCCACCTCCTGGAGGGTACGGCGCCGCGGTGGACTGCGGGTAACCGGGAACGCCTGCTCCGGGTCCTGCGGGTGGGTAGCCTGACGCGGCGAACCCTCCGTAGCTCGGTGCACCGGGTGCGTACGCCGGTGATGGGCCGCCGCCGGGTTGAGGTGGGTATGGAGTCGAGGAAGGGAAGCCAGGACCAGATGACGGGTAACCCTAAAATAAAACAAAACAGTATAGGATTCCACCATCGAACGCTGAACGGTATAATCTCGCACGCATTGCAAATCGTTATTAAAGTGATTACATCACCATAAATACTAGTGTTGTCAATCGGTTGTAATTTCGTAATCGATCATCGGTTGGACCCAAGTAACCGATAATCGGTTGGACCCAATAAACCGATAATCGGTTACAATCGGTTACTCGGGGTGTTGAATGCCTGCGTGTGCGTAACGTCGTGTGCATGTACGTGTGTGCATGTATGTGCTTGTTTAGCCGCGTATAAAATCCCTAGTGTGTTCCTAGCTTTAGCCCTCAACAGGAAGTAACTTACTGCGGCGAATATCGGGCGATTCCCGAACTAAAATAGCGATGATATCTCTGATTCTCATCACTTTTCCAAGTTTTCTTGTTCAAGTCTTACATTTATTTCGATATATATATCAGGAGTAGATAATAGGGGAGGATGTGACATCAATAAACAAGGGAAATTCGTCATTTACTAGCCTTATAATACCTACGATTTACTACGCGTAACTCATCCAACTTGAGCTCAAATCGGACCCGTACATTCGCCTATCATCGTGCGAAATCGTTTCCTCGTAGACCCCCCGCAATCCAGAGATACAGCCTAAAACGTAAGACACGATTCTCCATTCTTTGGCCATCAATCCAACGCCCATTGCGCGCCTATAATTCAAACAAAAGGCAGCTACCTAACGCGCTATTGCTAACTCAGCGAGGCATGTGGCTCGCTGGGAGATTAGGCATCAACACTCGGCGGAGATAACCTTTGACCCGGTACACAGCTACACAGGCCACCTCTGTACATAGCTGGCATGCCTTCACGCACGCACGCCAACCGCATGATTAGCTCGTCGAGTGTTGCGTCGATGTCCAATCTCCCCGCGAGCCACAACGCCACATTCCGCATTCCGAGAGAGCAAACACAGCGACTGCACGCAGTGTTGCTGCCTTTTGTCTGAATTATAGCGCGCAATGGCGTTGGATTGATGGCCAAAGAATGAGAATCGTGTCGTACGTTTTAGGCTGTATCTCCGGATTGCGGGTGTCTACGGAGGAAACGATTTCGCACGATGATAGGCGAATGTACTGTGTCCGATTTGAGCTCAAGTTGGATGAGTTACGCGTAGTAAATCGTAGGTATTATAAGGCTAGTAAATGACGAATTTCCCTTGTTTATTGATGTCACACTCCTCCCTATTATCTACTCCTGATATATATATATTTTTTTTTTTTCTCGATGAAATCGATTACGGATTTTGATAAACAAGCGCTTGGTTCGAGCCAGTGTTCAACCGATGATCGAGTATAATCGATGATCGTGACATCACTAATAAATACTAAATATAAAAAAAAACATTTCCACTTTTTCACAAAATGTAAATAATTCTGTTCACTTTTTATGGTTAAATTGCTGCATTATACTTTCTATTTTGCTATATTGTTTGATGTAAACATACATTCGTTACTCATACATATATAGCCCATAGCAAGCAATTAATGTCAGGATCATAATATCAAATCGTCCAGGTTTTTTGGATTTCTAACTAGTTGTGAAACAATCTTATCAGGTAAAAATTTGACCGATACAATTTAGTCCCGTTAGTATTTACTTTTAATGTAAATGAAAGTGTCAATGACACTGTAGCTCACCACAAAAAAGGACACAAATGAGTGAGTGAGAAGAAGTCAGTTTTAATTGAGCAACCATCGACGTACATTATAGAAACGAAGAGTATATATGGGAGAACTCCCATTATATACTCTTGCTAATTATATGTGTAATTTTTATGTGAAATAATAAATAATATTATATATAATTATAAATATTATTTTAAACCAAAATGAATCACAATTTGTGATGGTAGATGGAGCTATACCCGCTTTGATGTTTCTTAGCATAAATCATTATATCATAATATAATAGTTATAAATCATAATATGTTCATAGCAGGAATTTTGCATTAAAGATATTGTCAATGAAATCTTGTAAAACGAACCAGACGAGTGTGACACACAGACTGTTGTTATCTGCGTGTCTATATAACATGCTATATAATTGCCAAACCCTACCTAATTTGCATAATTGTTTTTTAAATATCAAAACCCCTAGACCTTATTCATTCACATTCAAAAATGAGCAAAATCCGTTGAACCTGAACTGACTAATGGCAATTCCCATTTTTGCCAAAAAATTGTCGGTGGCTCGAAAGTACGTCGACTGGCGTGCTCCAAAATAGGACGTTTAATATGAGAGCATTAGCAGTAACAACTATACCCAATTTCAAACATGTGGGTCAAACGGTTCCTGAGTTATCGTTGACCGTAGCCAAATGTTGACGGACAGACGGACGGACGACGACCCATGGCAATAGCTCAGCTTTGACGATGTCAAGGTGAGCTAAAAAAAGGCAACAAAATTTTTACAATATACACCATAGAAAATTCATGACGTAGTCAATTTAATGTGTAGTTCAGGTGAAATGGAACCTGAGAGGTGGGATTATACTGTACTAGCTACTTGAGGTTTCGTGACACTACTCGTAGATTGGGCATCTAGTCATAATGCAACATGACTACCACAGGGGGCTCCAGGCCAGCTTCTCTACTGTATTGCAGATTGCCCATCTGCCAACCTCATTCCACGATGTGGCACGTATGTTTGACCTTCACTCGCCTGCGAAATAATTATTATTTGCTCTGTTTAGATCATTTGTGTGGAATCATATTCAACCATGAATAAGGCGGCTTGTATCTATACTATCTACCGTGTAGACCTACTTGATATCTACTTGATTACTGATTATTTACTGTACTGTATTTACTGTACAGCCACACATCACATCAAGTGTTTGTATGGCTATCAAGGGTTAGGCAGCTTGCGCTTATATAAAACCCTGAACTGTCCAATAGCGGCCTAATTCGATTTTAAATGTGAGCAAGTCTTTTGCCGCAATAACATGTTGGGGAAGGCTGTTCCAGCTGTCAATCACTCTCTGAGAGAAAATGTTTTTCCGTAATTCGAGACGACTGCGCTCTTTGTACAGTTTCATGCTGTGACCTCTGGTGGTGGACAGGATTGCAGGTGAAAAAAATGTCCTATGATCAATATTCTCCAAGCCTGTCATAATCTTATAGGTCTCGATAAGATCAGCTCTCTCTCTACGTGTCTCTAGAGTAGTCAGATTCAGCCTTTGTAGTCTTTGCTGGTATGACAAGCTACCCAATCCTTCCACTAGTTTAGTCGCTCGTCTCTGAACTTTTTCAAGGAGCTCTATGTCCTTTATCAAATAAGGTCTCCAAGCTTGTATAGCATATTCCAGGTGTGGGCGGACCAAGGACATGTATAAGGGAACGATGGTGAGCCTCGACCTGTCGGTAAAACACCTTCTGATTACTCCTAGCACCTTGTTTGCCTTTTTTGCTGCTTCTGCACACTGTCTAGATGGTTTTAGTGAGGCATTAACTATAACCCCTAAGTCCTTCTCCTCAGTCACGTTGGCTAATGGCACATCGTTCATATAATATGTGACCTCGGGGTTTCCATGACCCATGTGTATGCATTTGCACTTGTCTAAGTTGAACAGCATCTGCCAGTCCTCTGACCACTTAAACAACTTGTTAAGATCGCCTTGTAGCCTGTGGACTTGATCCATCGCACTGACGCTTCCAAATAGCTTGGTGTCATCCGCAAACTTGGAGAGACTGCTGGTAACTGTGTCGTCAATGTCGTCAATGTACACTAAAAAAAGGACAGGGCCAAGCACAGACCCTTGGGGCACACCACTTGTCACTGGTCTCCAGTCCGATTCTTGACCATTCACCACTACTCTCTGCCTTCGTTCCCTTAGCCACTCCTCAATCCAACTGACTACGGTTCCTTCTATTCCAAACGCCCTTAGTTTCCGAATGAGTCTCTTGTGTGGTACCTTATCGAAGGCCTTTTGAAAGTCCAAATATATGACATCAACAGGATTTTCTTCATCTACGTGCTTAGTGACACTTTCCAGAAATTCCAGAAGATTAGTCAGACATGACCGGCCTGAGCGGAATCCATGTTGTGTGTTGTTCATGAGCTGATGCTGTTCAATATGGCGTACAATATGGTCCCGTAAACACGCTTCCATGATCTTGCAAGCCACGGACGTCAGGCTAACTGGTCTGTAGTTGCACGGTCGATCTCTGGGACCTTTCTTAAAGATGGGCGTAACGTTGGCGTCTTCCCAATCCT